GCGCTGCCGGCCGCGAGCTGCCCGGGGAGCGTTGGGGCGGCCGTTACCCGCTGGCTGAGGGACCGCTGAGGGGAGCCGGCGGGCGGCTGAGGGGGGCTCATGGCCGCGTCGGACCGGATGGTGCTGGGGCCGCTCGTGGGCGCCATCGATCAGGGTACCAGCTCCACTCGCTTCCTGGTGAGCACATCGTGGGGGCTTGGGGTGGCCCCGGGCGCTGAGGCGTGCGGGGGGCAGGCGACGGCCCCGCGGCCTGAGGGAGCCGCTGCATCGGCGGCTTCCATCTCCCGCATCGTCGCAGGGTGCCTCCGGCCTTTGCCGTGCCCTTGGGGAAGGGCAGGGTCAACGTGCCGCGCAAGGGCCGTGATGCCGCTGTCCCGGCTCCTGGCTCCTGCCCGGAATCGGCATCGCGGTGCCGGCCGGCGGGCCGGGGGTGCCGCCCCGCCAGTAGAATCGGGCGCTAGGGCAACGAACGCGGGTGTGGCGGAGCGACGGTGTCCCCGGCGGTGTCCCTCGGGGATCAGACCCCCGTCGCCTTCCCGCCGCGCTGTCAGGCGAGCAGGGCTGCCCGTCCCTCGGAGAACGAGAGGGTGAGAGTCGGCCGCGGTGCCAGCAGTGCCCGCCCGGCTCCAGAGGAAGCCCGAGGCCAGCGTTTCAGCCCGCTGCTTGAGGGAGCTGCAAAATCCTGCTGCTTCGAGCTGGTTGTGTTTTAAATCTGTCGGGTATCTCGCCCTGAATGAAGTCAAATGGACACAGTGCTCAGGCAGTGGTGAAAGAGGTCCATGGGAGTTCAGTGACGGTGATTAGCTGCTATTCAGACTGCCTGTTCAATGACTGCTGTGCTCCCCTCTAAAATATATTTGTGCCTGATGGACTGACTGCTGCAGTCTCGGAGGCTACAACCCTAGTGTCAGTGCATCCCGTGCACTATAGGTATTGAGGTGACTGAACTTGTACACGTTACGGAAGATGGGCCACTGGAGGAAGATTGTTTGAGGTTGGGATGATTAATATATTAATCATATATATATGTATATAAGCCCTTTACTTTAGGGATCTTGTTATTTCCACATTATGCAATAGAGAGTAACTAATGTTGTTATTATATATGAAACTTACTATATAAACTTCCTGCTTGCAGATCTTTACAAATGTCTTGTTGCCTAGTCAGTAAGTCACAGTATTTTGACTTAGATCCCAGAGATAATTTCCACTGTAGAATAGAGATACAGAGATAGATAATGGCTAGATACAAAATGTTGTCAAATATGCACAATGTTGCCCTTGCTTTTTTCTTTTTTTCTTTTTTCTTAAATGCTTCCCGCATGTGCAATTTTCCTTCACGAAGCAGGAGACTAGAGTATCTTCTTGACCTCTGTTACCGTTATTACTTAATATCATGACCTTTATGGGATTGACAAATGACAAAACACAGCTCTGAGAGTGGAGAGAAACTCCAAACTGACAAATGACACCAGCAGGCTGTCTTGAATGCCAGTCAGGAGTCCTTTTCAGAAAAGAATCTGGAAAAGTTCCTCACAGCACCTGAAGATAAATTCTATCTCCTTTACATGTATGCCAAGTTAACATTTTTCGTAGCCTAAAAGGATAACACTAGTAGGAATAAAAGAAACACTACAAGCTTTTATTTATACTCAAGCTCTTTTTGCAAGTATTTTTTACAAGTTCTTATAACAAGGACTTTCTTGCACTTGATGAATGCATCTGTGGTTTGTATACAGTTGGGGTTTTTTTTCTGTCTACATGAGGTATGTCTTCCCTGTTTGAGGATTCAGGTGCTCACACAAATAAATAAGAGGCCATAACTTTTTTTTCTTATTTTTTTTTTTAAAAGTGCATTATGTCTGTCACTCTTAAATTCATCTTGTATCCATCTCAGCTTCCCTCAATTCATTTCAAAATACAGCATTGTCTTAAACTTGGCAGTGTGATCAAACTATTATGATAATAAAGTTCTGTGAATTTGAGAAAAAAAAGTACATCATCACTAAATTAAATCAGAACATAGGGTAGGGAGGAAAGAGGACGAAGGGTGCAGATATCTGCTACAAGCCACATCAGTCATTCAGGTAATAACACATGCACCTGGAGAATTCTGTGTTGGAAAGAGATTGCCACAGTTAGAAGACAGACTCTGCTTTGAAATAATTTAAACCAAAATGTAATGTGGTGTTCTTTTTTCTCAATTTTTTTCCTTGGCTGTCTTGCTACCTCTCAGTCTTTTATTGTGTTAGTTGTTTTGCAAACCTTTCTCACTGATCTCTCTACACTATTTTTCTCTCTAGTTCTTCCAACAATTTTCATTTTCATCAAGTCACCAGTCGAAATCGAATTGTTGGTTACTTTGCACATGTCTATTTAGTAGTACAATGCAACTGTTACCAAGTTTTTTAAGATGGAAGTCGTATGATTTTCACCAGGTTAAAGATGCCTGGATGAAAAACGGATGGGTCATTTGGGGTGAAAGGGTAGCATCAACAGTTCAGAGACCAACTTCACAATTACAGGTGGCCAGTTTACAAGTGGTGTTCCACAGCAATCAGTGGTGAGGCCTGATACCCTGTAGTATTTTCACCAACAGCCTGGAGGATGGGTTGGAAAGCCCTCTCAAGTTTGCAGATGACCACAGACCAGGGGGAGGAGTTGACTGAGATTTCAGCTGGAGAAAGGACCTGGCAGAAGCTTCATGAAGTTCAACAGAGTTTAGCACTTGGGACAGAAGGCTAAGAAGCAGCTTGGTGAAAAAGGACCTGCATTCTTGCTGGACAGCAAGTTGAATATAAGTGAGCAGAGTGTCCTTGTGGTGGTGAAGATTAACCACATTAAGAAAAGTGCAGACTGCAGATCAAAGGGAGTAATTATTGCCCTCTGTGTGGCACTTAGGAGGCAGCATTGAGAACACTGTGTCTGGTTTTGGTCCCCCCAGATGAAGAAAGAGTCTGAGGAACTGGGTTTTGTCCAACAGAGGGTCACTAACATGGTCAGTGCACTGCAGCACGAGGCACGCAAGGGGCTATTTCATCATAGTGGAGTCTTATGGGGGTGTTTTCAGCTGTCTTACCACAAAGACAGAATTGGCCTTTTCTGAGATGTGCACAGAAAAAAACAACAGCCAATGAATACAAGTTGCAGCAAGTGAAGTTTCAAATATATGTCAGGAAGAAATGTCTCAGTATGGGGAGCTCTGGATCAAAGGCCCAGAAAGCCTTTGGAATTTCCGTCCTTGCATATACTCAAAACCTGACTAGAAAAGGCCGTGAACAACCCAGTCTAACTTTAAATTTAAGCTTACCTGAGCAGTGGGTTGTGCTAGGTGACCTCCAGAGATTCCTTCCAGAATTAGTTATTCTGTGTTTGGACCCAAATTTTGAGAGATTTTTCTGCTTGCGTGAATGAGGCTTTATGAGCATAGACAATAAAGAAACACCAGAATTTTGGTGCATTTCTGTTACTGTCACTTCTTATTTATCCTTGTCTCTCACACACAATACACATACAGTTCTAGCTTATGCTGTAGTTTGACCATCCGGGGACCCTAATTTGGATCTTTTCTTTGATAAACTACTTGCTTTTGCAAAGTAAACTTAAATTATTTTTGAGATCTCAACTTTTGGTTAAGTTGGGTTGAATCTGGACAGTAGATTCAGAGTCACCAAGGAGAGCCCACTGCTTGGAGTACTACTGCGGTTGCATAAGGCTCATTTTCTTAAAGATATCAAGCAGGAAAATTAGTTAAGTAGGCTAAATAAGTGTACTCAGATGACTAAATTCTGGTCTAGATGTTTTGCCAAATATTTTCATCAAATACTTGCATCTCTTGTGTTCCATTTTGTCTCATTCAAGAATCACATCAAAAAAAACCACTGTAACTTCTTTTGCTAAAAGTCTTGGGAGCAGGAGCTAATGGCCAGCTCAACCACTGCCTGATCTCTTGGAAGGTATTTGCTAGGTAAAGTCTTTCTGGTATTTTATCCAGGAACAGCAAGAATTGAAATAGTGAAGTACACATCCAGTGAAATACATATAGTACATATACATCAAGTTCTAAGTTTGTCAGTCAGCCGCAGACATTTTGTTCCCACCTCAGTGGAATATTTCTTTCTTCCTTTACTTCATTTCCAGAAGAAACATTAAAATAAAAGTTATATGACACTATAAACATTCTTTTCAGTGAACAGAAACTGGTTTTAGATAAGGAAAAACTTAGCACCCGTTGAGCTTACCCTTCAGAGGGGAATCCGTTTCATCCGTCTACTGAAGTAACATGATCTTTTGTGAAAAAGGAAAACTTGATTATAGAGCTATCAAGCAGGGTGAAAAATATTGCATATACTTCCATTTTCCCTAACTCTTAGCTTTTATCACTTAAAATACACTGCATTTTTGCTTTTTATTTCCATAATCATAAACACCTCTTTGAGGGGGGAGGGAGGTCTGTTCTTCAGGAACCTTCCAAGCAAGATAATTTCTAGGAGGCTTGTTAAACTTTGCTTACTCATAAATTCTGACTCATTGCTAATCCTAGTTAAGCGCTAAAGGTGGAATTATTGTTCCTCTGTCATTCTTCCCCCAGTTGGGTTGATTTCACTGCAGTTTCAGAACTCCAGCCCTGAGCTTGTTTGCCTGCAAAGCTGTAGCTGTTCCAGCTTAACAGAAACACATGAAGATACAGCACAGATTAATAAAAGTAGCTTTTCTGCAGGCAGAGTTACATCACAAAGCTTGAGGGTCATGAAAAGTTACTTCTAAAATCTATGTTTTCGCTGTGCAATTTCTTCAGTCACTACCATGAGCCTCATGTTTCTGTTTGTCTCATATTTATTTTCATACTTTGAAAATTGTTACAACCGATTGATCTTTTCCACTAAGATGATAAAGCCTTAATGTAAAACCATGCAGCTGTTTGCACCCCTTCGTATGATGTCATGTATTATATTAGAGACCCTACAAAGAGCTTGAATTAAATGATCAGCCCTTATGCTTGTTGCTTGCTTATATATAGTATTGCTAAGCAAGTCTTTCTTCTCTCCTTCACTCCGAGATTCAAGGCTCAAGCTCTAATTCTCTGTATGATAATTTGTTGGAAGTGGAAGGAGGATGTTGTTTATTCCTTTTCTTTAATCTCTCACCAGAGAATTCAGTACATATATGGTGGTTTTCACTGTTTTTCATCAAATCATCTCTGTTCAAGATAACTCTATATGTCCAAATACCCTAGACAATTCTTTTGTGACTACTGCTGATAGACTTAGAGCAAAACGGACTTGGACTTTTTTCCCCCCTACAAGAAGTGGGAGATCAATATCATAAAGTGGAACCAGTTCTTAATGAATATGAAAGGAAGGAAAGCAGTGGCAGAAATACACTTCAAACTTGTTTCAACAGGAATGTATTGACCTTATCTGAATTACCCAGACTTATTGTCAGCTATTTCTCTCTCTCACTACTGTCAGATAAAAAACAAGGAATGCTTTGGGGTTTTTTGGCAAGAGGTTTTTTGTTTGTTGTTTTTGATTTTGGTTGTTTTTTGATCTGGGGGGGCATCCCATTTGCTTTACTTATTTCCCACTTTGTTTATCATCTTCTAGGTTTAAGTGTAATGACTCATTTATGTTTGGCATCCTTTCATGTATCAGAATTCTATTTATCACTGTAGAACATGGTATTGTTCTCAGAGAAACTTTTTAATCCCTTGCCCGCAGGTACAGGGAGTGTCTGCTGCTTTTGTTGAGAATGTCAGAAGTTTGCGGTTTTGTTTGTGATGGATTAGGGGAGCATGCTTACTTAGTTCTTCTCTATGGTCATGGAAAAATCTATGCATTTGTAATGTTACTGCCTCTGTTGAGAATTTATTGCTGTTAGAACAGCCTGCTTAGAAGGAGGCAAAAGCCTTGCTGTGCTAGAGCTTCACCCTTTATTATCTGCAGGTCACACACTCCAGGTTCAATGAATAGCCTTGTCTAGTTCAATCTGTGTTTATTCCTTGCTAACAGTAGGAATTCTTATGTACTGCCTTTTGTTTCAAGGAATATTGAGTGATTAATAATGAATGAATACCAAATTATATTTAACATTGTTATTAGGTCAGATAGATACAGGTTCAATAAAAACTCTTCTATATTTATTATAAAAACTTAGTGAATGTTACTGTGCTTTTAGCAGAAAGGCAATTTGAAGTAAAAAAATCTTGCTGCATACAGGCAAAACTTAATCTCTCCTATTAACTATGTATTAACACCTGTTTCCCATTCCTTATACACTCATATACCCGTTCCTTCCAAACATTTGGTACCGACAAGGCTTACCCTTTTATTAGGATAAGTTCATGTCAAACCTGAGCAGGTAGGTGAAATACAGATAAGGAAATATGGTAAAAAGAATAGAGTGGTGCTTTTTCTATGTAATCTTTCCAAATGATAACAAAATAATGAACTTATACCTTTTTAAGACTTCTTTCCTGGGCAGTGAGGGGAAAAATTAGCTTTTAGTATTTTCCAGAGAGGTTGCGCCGTTTCCATCCTTGGAGGTTTTCAAGACCTACATAGAAAAAGTCGTTGAGCGACTTGGTCTAAGTTCATAGCTGACCCTGCTTTGAGCAGGATGTTGCACTAGAGATCTCTCAAGGTCTCTTTCAGCCTAAATTATTCTGTGATTCTAATATATAAGTAGAATGTTTCTAAACTTCAAAGTTTCACCGTAAAGTTACACTCTAAGGTTTCAAAGAAACCGTAGAGTCTGGACTTGATCTGCTCTTTATCAGAACTGTTCTAATAGTTTCAGAGTAAACTGTACTATCTAAATGAAATCAAGAGTTTAGGAATTAAAAGCTTTAAGAGGAATTCCTAAAATTTATGGAATGAGAAGAGAGCATTACCAAGGAAGTCTAGAAGAGATTCAGTTGTATCCTAGAGAGTAGATGGGTATAACTGAATTTAGTACCCTTAGCACAAGAGTGATGTCTAAATCTGGCCCTCCTCTGCTTGCCATAAAAAGATAGGATTGTATCCTGCTGGCATGTTCTGCGGTTCACCTGAGTCTGCTGTAAGATTTTACTTCGTAGGTCCCTGAATGTTCTTCAAGCAAAAGATTCTGCATGGTGCTAGTGAGAAAGAGCCATTTTCACAGGAATGTCATCATTCCCCAGTCAGTTATGCTGGCTTACTCATTGTACAATTAAGCTGGATGTTTTACTAGATGTCATTTTAGCTTGGCCACAGTAGATTACTTTTGGAAACAGGCCATTGATGGTTAATGAAGATCATTGTGTATTCTAGCTGAGCTTCTACTGCAAAGAAGAGCCTCTAACTCGCAATTCCTTAAGAATAGCCATGAGTATAGTCCTAAGGATTTTCTATTCTGCTGGTTTTTATTGTAGTATATCCAAATCTAAGTAATTTTTCTGCGTGTTCTCTTTTTTAATGGATTGTGTTGCTGCAGTGACAGTCTTTTCTTGTCAGATTCTTCATGAGCTCTGTATTTATAGTTTGTTTTGAAACAAACTGGGTGCCGCCTAGGAGCTCGCTCTTTCTTCACAGTTTGGTCCCGTCTGTGACTTCTAAACTACATGAGATTGTCTGACTCTCCTAGAAGTGAGCTAACCCAAGAAAAGGAGTAGCTCTGGCATTAGAGTGTCAGAGCAAGAACTAAAGAAATGTTGTAACTAGAATGGGTATTTTACTGAGAGATGTGTTCTAAAATGCATCACTTGTTTAATTTCTACAACCTCCACAAGAAAAAATCTGGTTCTTTCCCAATCCATCAAGAAAAAAAAGCAGTTATAATTCACAGCAGAGCTTACCAAAATATTCTTTGTTCACCTTAATTACAAAAATTCATATATCTTAACCCAGGTTATATTGATATTTGGGTTGATGATAGAAAATGACTTTCAATTATCAAGACACTGTAATTGTTCAAAAGAATAAATGTTCATTTATTGTTGTTTATAGAAAATTCTGTTGTATAATTTATTTGCAGGTTTTTAATGCGAAAACAGCAGAGCTCTTAAGTCACCATCAAGTTGAAATACAGCAGAAATTCCCTAAAGAAGGGTATGAATTTTCTTTGGTTCTTTATTTGTTTGTGCACATTTTGGTAGAGCTTATGTCTCTTTCTCTATGAATGATCAAAACTGAAGTTGATTAATAATTATTAAGAACATAGTATCTGCTATAAAAGACTGTGTGGTAGAAAAAAATGGCATAAAAAACCCGACATTGGGTGTTTGGTATGTGCTCTTGAGTTACGTAAACTAAAAATACTTAGTGTTTGACTATTCATTAACGTATTTAAAGTTAGACTTTAAAGTTTAAGACTAAGGTTTAAACAAGACTGTTGTGAAAATACAACAAACTGTTTAAAAAGGGTTTGAAATTCATTACACCTTTTCTAGATATGTAAAGCATACTTAGTAGTTACCATTGTGTCAAAATGTTTGGCTGATTTTTTAGACTAGAATTTCTTTTTTTCCCTAAATGTTGTTTTTTTTTTTGTCTTTTTATTAACTACTGCTTACTGTTTGTTAAAGATGGGTGGAACAAGAGCCGAAGGAAATATTAAAGTCTGTCCATGAATGTGTGGAAAAGACCTGTGAGAAGTTGCAACAACTGAACATAGACATCACTAACATAAAAGGTATTCCTACTATTTAGGAGGGCTTTAACACACTCATGGTTGAGCAAATCAGATTCTCTAAGTTAATAAAAGAAAAGAGGGATCATGTGCTGGTCTCAAAAAAAAAAAAAGTGAAATTGGAATTGAAATCAGTTTATTTGGGAGGAATAATGAGAAAATAAGTCCTTCATGTATATTAGCAATGCAAAATACACAAAGTAATCTTAACCTAATCTTCCAAAAAACACAGAGACAAGTATGAATGAATAAATTCTGAAATTTAAATTAGGACTTATTGGGAAAAACTAGTTTCCCTGACAGTGTTTTTGCTGTCTCTGTGACTAAAAAAAAAAAAAAAAAAGGCATATTTAGCGTACATAGGTTAAGCAGCAAAAGTTGAATGATGAGTTTTTAGAAGTACTATTTTTAGATTGTAACATTAAAAAGTTGGAAGCTTTTTATTTCCCATTTACTTTCCTCTTCTCCTTACCTGTTCCTCCCTCATCTCCACCTCTCCCTTCCCTCCCTCACCCCCCAAAAGGGGAAAACAAACCTTCTGAAAAGGATACTTCTTTCTATTTTGTCCTGAAGCCATTGGAGTCAGCAATCAGAGAGAAACAACAGTGGTTTGGGACAAGACGACTGGAGAACCGCTTTATAATGCTATTGGTAACTATTATATTTTCTGAATATGTGATATCATAAAATGAGCATGTTGTAGAAAAATGTTTTCCTAGCTTCCTGTGTAGATCTCATTGTGGCCTAGCCTACTAACTACTTTGATTTTTTTGATATCTATGTCATAAGCTGTCTGCCTGTATATACCAGTGCAATTAAAAAAAATCCTATTCTGCTAAAATTATTACTTAATAGCTAATAAATCATTTTACCGGCTCTTAACCAAAAAAAAAGTTCCTGAGGGGTTTTGTACATCCCTGACATGTAATGAAGCTCTGACTTAAGCCCAATCACTTCCTTTTAAATGAAGAAGCTTACTAAATTTTCAGGATGATTTTGGTTTAACCTAAAGGAAAACCCTGTTAAGTAGGTTTAATGAATGCTTATTGATTTGGAGTTTTATATTTGCTACCTTGGCTTTTCAGAATATGTCAGCTGAGAAAGGGTAATTGTCTACATTTGCTATTTTAGGCCATGTCAAGTGCCAGATTTAGTTTAGCATAGTATCACTGAAAATCCAGAATTCTATATTCAAATATATGTTGTTAACAGCTTTATCTTAAGCCCAGCTGCACCTTGATAACTCTGACATAGTGTTCTAGTTCAAAGTTTTCATAGGAGTAGTAAATAAACAACCTGCTATTTGTTTTAACCTCTTAGTTTAATGACAGTCATCTGCTGTAAACAAAGTAGTATTAGTCATTTGCTTATGCCCTAATAGAGAAAAGTATATATCCTGTTAAGTGAAAAATCCTATTTTTTCTTTTGTTCTTTTAAATCAAATGAGCTTCTCTAACAATTTTTAATTTTTACAACTGTGAATTTAAAATACAATGGCCCTACAATATTCTTTCAACTACATGAAAAGCTAAAAATAGAGAGGAATTTACTGGCAAGAGCTCTAGTTTTGTAGAAGCAGCTTGTACATGTCACTTTTCACGTATTAAATCAGCTAATTTTATTCATGTTTTTAGTGTGGCTTGACCTGAGAACCCAGTCGACAGTTGAACGGCTTCTTAAAAGAATTCCAGGAAAAAACAAAGCCTTTTTTAAGGTAAGACATATTCCAGAACATTTAAGTATTAGCTGAACTCTTGTAGCTACAGTATATATATTTTGGAGATGTGTGCTTAAAATTTCACAAAACAAAGTTGTAGCTTCTAGTTCTTTCTTAGCTTGTCAAAAAAGTACATGCATAATACTATACACCAGTCTGAGACTAGAAAATGCTTATTTTTCTCAAAATGAGTGGTTAACGCTCCTTACATATCTCGCTAAAGAAGTTAAATGAGTAATCATTAGTGACTTAATAATGTGCTACTTATCCAATGACAAGTAAACATCACACACAAAAATTAGGAGCAAGTAGAAAAAAAAGTTTGGAAAATACTTTACTGATGTGAAATATATTAACCTTTCTCATCTTATACCTTAATATTGAAATTAATTGCAACCAGTCTGAGAACTGGAAGACTGTTTGTGAAGAGCAAATTACTTCTTTTTTCTTTTAATATGGGTGTATATACATACCAATTTGGAAAAGAAATGCTTGTGAAAAGGTTTCATAATTCTTTGCTTTATATTTTCCTTGATTGATTGTATAAATATTATTATTATTATATTTATATGTTCTCCTATAGGCAGGAAATGACTGTCAAAAAGCATATAAACTTATTTGATTTTTAAGTCTAGTAGAATACAAATTCCATCTTTGCTGTGTCACGCTGTTCATTTTTGTTGTCTTTACTTGCTGTCTAGTCATATGGAGATATCCTAGATAAGGCAGGACTTCTGCAAACAACTATTTCCACATAACTGGTCTTTGAACTGTATTAAGATCAGCTTTGATCTTTGTCCATTAATGCACCAGTCATTTGGTTTTGATATTTTCAGACCTGTGTATTGTGTGCTTAGTACTTATTTAAATAGCAAGCTTGTGTAATTTCTGAGGTTTGTGTCTTCAGTTTTTCACTTATTATCACCATTTTTATATATAACTACAGTATTCATGGAAAAAATACATGGTGTTTAAATGATTTTTTTTTTAATTTATCTTACAGTTTAAGACTGGTCTTCCGCTTAGCACTTATTTTAGTGCAGTGAAACTTCGATGGCTTTTGGATAATGTGGAAGAGATCAGGAAAGCAGTTGCTGATGGAAGAGCTATGTTTGGGACTATTGATTCATGGCTTATATGGGTATGTATTTGTGAATTTATTTTCACTCTTTTTAAAAAAAATTCCATATAAAGCAAATTCCTGTGCAGAGTACTATGACACACGATGCCTGCTGATCACAAAGTGATGTCAATACAAGCCACTAAAGAAATTTCATTAAAGTTCATTACAAGATGAACTTTCACTGTCCACGTATCACTGTTCTTTTTTTTTGTGTGTGTGTAGATGCTTATGTGTAGTTTACTGTAGTTGCTCTAAAATTTTGTTCATGCTTTTAGAAAAACCTTGGACTTTAGAAAGGTGTATTAGCCACTTTAGCAATATAAGAATCCACGAGGTGTTGCTATTACCTCTCTCACGCTTTTGTTCCACCCTTACCAGGTCTCTTTAGTTGTTGAAGAAATATTGGAGTACCCAGTTCCAAGCTGAAAGCTTTCTGAATTTAGAACTTTTTTTTGTAATTTTTTGAAATAAACCTATATCTTTTCTTGGTGAATACTGTTGATATTTTTTCTGTTCAGAGTTTGACAGGTGGAAAGAATGGAGGCGTTCACTGTACAGATGTAACCAATGCCAGTAGAACAATGTTGTTTAACATTCATTCCTTGGAATGGGATCCTGAGCTCTGCCAGTAAGTTCGGTTTTTCAGTCATACTGTTATTTAAGTAGATTCTATAAGTAATCTGTGAATAAATCCATTTAATAGTAAGAATCTCTTCTAGTCCAAGGTCAGCAATTACTATTGTATTTACTGTTAACATTAGTAATTAAGATTAATTGTTTTCAAGATGTCCAAATTACAACTGTCTGGATTAACTAAAAGTAGCAGATTTTTGCTGTTGGTGGAAAACTGGTTCATGGAAACAATGACATTTAGCCATTTCTTTATTCCTTTATTGAATTTGTAAGACAGTTACAATGATAATGTCTCTATTTTAAATGTAAACTTATTAACAACAATATCATAAAGATATTACTGGAAGAGGAATGACTTCCCACATGAAAGAGTTGTATATGTCTTCAAAATATTCAAATATATGCTGTTTTACTCCATAATGCAGTGTCATATACTGTAGCGAGTGGAAAAACACATAGTTATGCATTAAACCCTAGAAATCAAAGTTCCTTCTACAGATTTTTTTTCTTTAGAGCTTAAACGTATTTAAGAAAATAAGAGCAAAATGTTTTGTGATTTAGCACTGGCCATACCTATAAATTATTTTGTATTGTGTTCAGGTTCTTTGATATTCCTGTAGAAATACTCCCAAAAGTACGAAGCTCCTCTGAGATTTATGGCCTGATGGTAAGTTTTCTTGTGTGTGTGTGAATCTTGTAAAAATATAACTGTATCAATATAGATTTGACGGAATTTCCATAGATTGAGACTAATGGATTTTTCTAGACCAGTATTGATTTATGATTAGTATGTCATTTTCTTCTGTTGTATGATAATATGACTTTAAATATTTTTTTTTCTTCTTTTAAGTGTTACATAGACATAACAAGATGGGAGATTTTTTTTTATTAGGATAAATATTTTTTATTACAGTTACTTACCAATTTAGAAGCTACCCATCAGAATGCAATGTATAATCAGTAGATTAAAAGAATGAGATTGCTGTTATTAGAGCACAATATTTTTACTTCTTATACAATTGAAAAGTAGAGATGAAAGTTGCTGTGGAAGTCTTCGTGACCTAAGAAGACTGGACAAGACATATAATGTCTTATTTCCACATAACTGAAGGCAAGATTAGTCAGTTTCTGTGAAATGGGAAATCACGGGTGACACCTTAGATCGCATTCTTTTTAAAAAATAAACATCTCTTGCAATGTATATTTACATAGCACTTAGTAAAAAAAAATTTTGTATTATTGTGATGTCTTTTTAGTCAAACTGCTTCCAATGCAGCTCTGGACATTACTTATGACTAAATCATTAATTGTTATCATGGGGCTGAGTATTCAAGTTTACTTTGATGCAGCACCAACTCTTCTGATACAGTGGCATCTAATTTGTTAGCTTCAGAATCGGATAAACTGGATGTTGTCACATTACATTTTTTTTCCTGGTAGTTTGCCCTGCTATTTATTAAGAACATACAAGCATTTTATAATTAAGACTAGTTATGAGATTTTTATTTAAAATACAACTCTAACTTGCCTGAAATGTAATTAATTTTGTTAATCTATTCATGGACATGCCATTAGAAGTCATTGCTGACTTTTATTAATGTGAAGCCCAGACGAGAGTGAGTTGTATTAAGCTGAATAACTGAGGTAAATGGAAAAAGATGCTACCTGGCAACTGAACCAGAGTAACTGGTCACTTTAAATGTGAACTTCTGTTTCTCTTCCTCTTTCCTTCCATTTTTTTTTCTTTTTCTTCCTTTTGCTGACTGTAGAAAATCTGTCCTAGCCTGGTGAGTAGAGGCTTCCATTAGGCTGACCACCTATGTCTTATCCATTCTATTCAGATACTGTGCATTTCCATTGGTTAAAGGACTAGTAAAAGCACACTCTCTAGATGAACAAATTTGGCGGGTGTTTCCAAATCTGAGATATTAAAATTGGAGTTCATGACAAAGTTGTTTCTAAAATATAGTCCTGATGTATATGTTTGCCTTAATTGCAGGCTGTTGAATATTTTTTTTTTATAGTGAAGCAAAAAATACAGCTATTGGCTAATAAATGTTGGCTGTCTCATTTTATAAATGAGAAAAGCAGGCCATCCAGTCTACAAATATTGATTCTATTATAGTGAAACATCAGATTCATGCAGAGTTTTGTAGTGCATTTATAAACTCAGTTACCTTAAATCCAATTAATGAAAATGAGAATTAAAGAAAAAAAAAAGATTCATATTGGAAATGCACTTGCTTGGCTTCACCGAATTTTCACAATTGCGCAAAGAAACAATTTAAAGAAGTAAAAATTTTTAGGATATAAATTTCTTGTACGTATTGCAAGAACATAACTGAAAAACTGCATGGTAGTGTTTGGAAGAAATCCTATATGAGACTTAAAATGCTGTGTCTTAAAATGAGGCATCTGTCTTTGCTTAGTGTATCATCACAATCATATATTTTTCTAGTCACTTCACCATTTTGCACTTCTGCATTTTAGACTCGACACTGACTGCACAGTTTACACTGAACCTTGTTTTCTGTACACTATGATTTCAACAAAATTTATGTTAAGAACTGTTGAGGTGACGTAAAGTATACCTGTAAATTTCCCACTCTCTGTTTTTTAGTGTTTTAGGTATGAGCTGCATTAAGCTGAAGTCCAATGTACACCTGAACTGAACCATCTTGCTTACGTGACCCTTCTTTGTTTTCCTTTGAGCATTACAGTTTTAGCTTCTTTTTTTTGTTGCCTTAAATAGTATTCATTGAAAGCTAATTTGAAGCTTTTTTTTCTCTTTTTGCAAATCAGAAATCTGGAGCTTTGACAGGTGTACCAATTTCCGGGGTAAGTCCTACTTCAACTCAGATTTTAGCATGAGAACCTGATACTGCATGAACTAGAAAAAGCTTTAAGATGGGTCAATTCTGCTACATATTAAGTTAATGTTTTTTTACTTCATGCTAAACATGAAGTAAACTTTTGAAGTTGAATTATTAATTGACTGGATTCTTCATTATTAAGTTAAGGTCTGGCTGTGGAAATACAGCTAACAGCTCTACTGCTGATGTGTAATGCTGTTGGAAATACAGGATCTCTAAGTAAATGAGTAACATTACAAAATGGAAGCAAGCTCTGCTTTATATGTAAAGGGAGTTTAGTATATACATAATCCAGAAATGTTGGGCAGATTCTATTTATTTTTCCAATACAGCATGCATAAAGATAGTAAATTTTAATTTTGATTTCTTAAACTTGTTCACTGAAAGTAGCACGACACATTTCATTTACAGTTCTTACAAAGGGAAGAATAGTAAAAAGCACAGGTTGTCTCTCTACATTTTTTTATCACTTTCAATTACCCACGTGTTCCTAAAAGATTATAGTTAAATATATGTGTTCATGTACCTTTTTCATGCATGTGATTCTGTTTTCAGTGCTTGGGTGACCAGTCTGCAGCTCTTGTTGGGCAAATGTGTTTTCAAGATGGGCAGGCAAAAAATACGTAAGTTATTATGAAAGTTGTAAGATAAACAGTACGTCACTGTTCTGTTTTGAATTTAGTTTTATGTTCTCTTTCAAGATATCTGCCAAATGCTTTTGTAATTACCGCATAACTACAGCTCTACCTTTGGCTGTTTTGACCTACAAAGTAAACAGTGTCCTAAATTTTATATAAAATAGTGGAGATACTAAATTTAAATGGTTTGTGAGGCATATTTTGGAACAAAGTCACTGGGAGGAAATGTCTCTGTGTGATAGGAGGTTTTTTATTTTAAAATTCTTCAAAACATAGATTAAAACAGTTGCAGTATCATTTAAATTGTGACCTAAAGTTAAACAAATACAGGCCGTATGAGTTAGATTGCATAGACTTGAATGACAAAAAACCCACAGCGTTGCTAGATGGGAAAAGTTCGTTTCAGTTGCAGTCTTCTGTTTTTCTTCTGTGTCTAGCTCAGTGTGGAGAATTTTACATTGTTATTTTTCTACTTCTCAGACTCTTAGTGTCCCTTGTTTAAAATAGCTGATCGGTTAAATCAGGCAACTGGAGTAATCAAACATTCATTTGAGGAAAAGCTCTCTGCTTAAATTACTTTACTGTTCCATTTACAACCATGTGCTTAACTGAGCATGTAGGTACACACACAGTATTGGACTTCCACAGATTTAATTACACATTAATCTATACTTGTTGCCAATTAACCTTCACTTTATCTTTTATATTTATACACAAATTTAATGGTTAATGGCCTTCTATTTTAGTAAACCAAACATGGTTCTAAGTAATAATGTCATGATGTATTTTGATAATAAATACTTTATAACACAAGAGATTTTTTTTTTAAAATCCTGCTAAACCAAAAGGTAAAAGTGAGATTTTTTTTTTTTGACCTATTTGTGTTACTGCTTTACCCTTTTTCTCTCCAAATATAACTGAGGACTTTCTCAGTACTATTTTAAGTTATTAGTTTTCAGGGTATTAAAAAGGTAGGAAACTCATAATTTCCTGGAATAGGTTAGAGTGAACTATAAGTATTTTGTAGTCATTTTACTAGACTGTGTCCTTATATGTGTGCGTATGCACACATATATGTGGTCTTCAGATGAGAAACATGCCATTTTTTTAAATTTTTGAACAGAATATGTTTAAAGAAATCCCTCCTCTTTGTGACAGGAACAGTGTTTCTTAAATTTTCCCCTTTAAAAGCTTGAATTTAACATCGTGAAGTATTTATTTTATAAAGGACCTTTTGTAATCACCTTAAATTGAAGGAGGTAAACAGTGCCACCAAAGAGGAATTCACACTTAGTTTTCAACAGTATTTGCTCCTTGATCAAGTATTATACAAGAAATTACCAGAGAGGTGTGGGACTAGATTTTCCAGTGGCAGGCTGCTTTTAATCAGCTTTTTGAGGATGGCTTTATCATCAGTTAATGGTAACCTAACCTTCAAGGAGCAAAATGTGGTGTCCTGATTCTCCACAGGGAGTCACAGTTTCATGAATTGCAGTAACAGGTTATCCTTTAAACAACTTGGTTTTAACTTTCCCTTACTTTTTCGCTAGGTATGGAACAGGATGTTTCCTGCTGTGCAATACCGGTCAGAAGGTCAGTTGCATTTTTTTAGGTGTTCACGTTTTATTTACAATCTTTATTTAAGTTCTTGAGTGCAACTATATATTAGCCTTTCTTAAACTTATTAGCAACAGTTACATTGCTAGAAATAAGGAAAAGTGCATACCAAGATCTGAAAGAACACACAGTAATAATTAGTTCAAGGTGTTTTCAGTAAGACTTCATTTCCTAGCTTCTTAAATTTCCAAAAAGAACTTTTCATATCAAATTTGTTACTCTTTCCTTTTATGTTTCTTATTCTCACCCAGAAGTACTGAGTATTGTGTTACTTAACCACAAGCTTTTCTCCTTGGCTTGGCTATTTTATTTCTTCCCTTCATTTTCTCCCATTTTTTTCTTTGTAGTTGTAGTTGAATAAATCATGCAAAGGTTTGACTTATTTCTCATTCACATCTTTAAAAACCCCAATTCTTTGCTATAAGGAGGCTGGAAAGATCTGAGGCAGCTTGTGAAAATGAGAATTAACACCAGCGATCTGAGGGTTCTATCTTAGGTGTTTATTTAGAATGACTGATAATTTGCTCTGTTTAAACTTTTCATGGCTCTTTTTTTTTTTTTTTCCCAGTGAAGGTTTTGTCTCATGTTTATTATCACTTGAATATTTTTATTTAAATATATTTTGCCTCTGTTGATGATTTTCCTTTTCTTTTCCCTTGTCCTATTTAGTCTGTATTCTCAGAGCATGGTCTTCTAACCACAATAGCTTACAAACTGGGTAGAGACAAACCTGTTTGTTATGCACTAGAGGTAAGTCTAGGAATTTCTTCTTTCTTGTAGTGATACATGTTCTTGTTTACTTCTGTTTTCTAGTATTCTTAAGTTATCATCAGTTGCATGGAAATCAAAACAGCTTTGTGTTATAGCTTGTATGCCTCAAGGCTTATGTGTGGTTTTGGTTATCCCTATCTCCAATCTATATCATGTAATCTAGTAAAAATAGATCTACATTACATCATTTATATTTTCAGGGCATCATGGCTAAAACATTTTTTCTGTTACACAGTCTTCCAAATCCTTAATAAATGTTATAAATAAATAAAAAAGAAAAAAAGTTATACTAAAATTAGGCTTTAAAAAGAGGGGAAAAAGTACTAGTGTTTGAGTTATCCTCTCAAAATAAAAGGCATCACTAGATATCTTTGTTTTTTATTTCATTCTAATGAATTTTCCTTCCAACTTTCAAAAATCTGAACCAAATTTCTGTGACAAAAATTCTCTAACAATTGAACTTTTTTTACCCACTAAGACTTAGGTGCTTACTTCCAGAATGTGGTTCCTCAATTTTCCACACAACTCTGAGGGCGTCCAAAGTCTGTAGAAAATTGGATTTTTACTGTAACTTCAGGGTTCATTGTTCTAGACCTCTGCTTCTGAAGCACAGATCAGCTGAGCACCTGTTTGGCACCAGAGCTTCATTAGGATGAGTAGAATGATTATTACTCCATCTATGTTGCTTGGTGGGCTTGATCTAATTATTATTTTCAAAACATGCATACTGAGAGCCTATGTTTTTAATGTGAAACAGGCAAAGACAACACACAGGATTTTCTTCACTGGGCTTACAGTACTTTACTAGGATGTAGGAGGCTGTGTTCATTTCCTTTTCCTTCTCTAAGGAAAGTTGATCTTGCATTTGCCGTGTTCTGGCAAACTTTGGGGTTTTCGTTTTGTGCAAGTGTGTGTGAGTTTTGTTATATTTTTAACTCGTGTTCTTAAGGCAAGAACTAGAACTGTCTTGAGAGTGCTTTGTACTTGTGCATGCTGAAACACATGCATGTGTACTTCGCTTCTTCCTCATCTCCAGTCTTTCTCTGAACAGCTTCAACAGAAGATATTCAGTGTTCTTTCTCATGTATCCATGCTAGTATTATCTACAGTCTGCTGGTTGAGACACTTTTCAGAGATGCAAGAGATGTAATAAGACATTACAGAGATATAATAGCTAGCTAGTTAGAAAACACCCCTGTTCCTTCTAGCAATGGCTTTCAGTGAAAATACAATGCTGCTCCCATTTTACTTGAAGCCTGGTAGGTAGACTTGAGACTGTCTTGTAGAGAAGTCCATTTGGACTTTGGAGTGAGATGGGAGCTATGCCATTCATTTATGATGTGACGGAGCTATTCAGGGCCATTTCTTGAGGCAATAGAGGAATTTTGCTGGAAATGCAAGTGCCTAAATTTTCTGTCTGTCTGAGCATTTATGTTTAGACTCTAGACATAATCAGTCTTGTTTTTTTTAAATCAAAATATAAAAATCTTAGTTTGTTGGAAAAAGAAGGCTGAGGCTACTGGACCTCATGACTAAATTAGAGACAAGAAGACTGCTTAGGAAATGTCATGGTAACTCCCCTTCATGGAAAAAATCGTGCAATACGTACCTTTTCTACATGGAGCCTGCATAACAGGCTGCCATTTTTACATGGCAGTCTCCAGTTGCCAAGAAACTTGTGATTTGGTTGTGAGCATTCTTGGGAGTGCTTTAAGCTGTGACTGTAAGCCTGCAATTGGAGGCCGCAGCTACCCCTCCTCTCCAGTCTTGTAAAAAGGATAATGAAGCTACCAGTTGTTGTCTTCTAAAGTTGTAGTGATTTTGTTTCCTTCAGGGATCTGTTGCAATAGCTGGTGCTGTTGTTCGTTGGCTGAGGGACAATCTAGGTATCGTTAAGACTTCACAGGAAGTTGGTGAGTATTCATAATTTGCAGCTGTTCGTTTTTTTAAGTTTTCCAGTGTCTTGATGTCTCTAAAGAGGAATGAAAGTTCAAAATATTCAAATAAAGAAAAGATGGAAGATGTATATGTTTTGCAGTGTTTGATCAATTTGGTTTGCATCCATAAAATCAATGTTTATTAATGTATGTATTTCATACAGCATATCAATACAGTCTTTGAAACTCCTTCTCAGCTTTTTTCTATTGCAATCTGTACTTTTTAGTAGTTTTCCTAGCCAGAAAACTCAGGAAGATACTATACTTACAGTGTATTTCCTAGTTTCATACAATATTGAATTTTCCAGAGCAGAGTATTTAAGTGTCTATTACAAAAGCCAGAGCATATTTGATCCTAAACCTACATGTTCATCCCTGTCATAAATATGAAAACCTGAGGCCCCACACGTGCAACAATTTATCTAGAAGGTTTCACATCCATTGAGTTAGGGAGTTCAGTTTGCAAAGCTGCCTCTTAAAGGAATTGTGGAGGATGGTAATTTATTTTGGGTAAAAATACAGTAATCCTTTAGCTTTTGGGTAGCTGATGTCTTCTGCTTGAGCTGAACTGAAACAAGCTGCTGTGTGACATTATGAAAACTAGGAATATATCAAACTTGGAAAAAGGAGAAAATGTCAGAAGCATGCAAGTGTAACAGTTTGAAAGTGACTGATTTAATGAGATTTAGGATTAAAAAGCAATTCATTACGTATTTTTAATAATTTGATATCTTATTTAAAGGTGAAAAAATTTAGAATTCAAATATTATGTAAAACTTCAAAGATTAGGCAAATACTTAAAACATCAGTCTGTTTTTCTGTAAGAAAGCTTTGCAGATCATACAGAAGAATAGATAGTACTGTCACATGAATTAGCCAGCTGTAGAAACACTACAGTACCTCTTGGCTTCACAAGTTTGACTAGACCTTTGGAAGGTTTGAGTTTCAAGAACTTTAATCTTGTCAGTGTTGTTAAAATCATGTCGGACTTCGTCTTCTCTTACTGTTTTCCTGAACATATCCTTCCTTCTCCCTTCACTGCTTTTTTTGTGGAGTCTTTATGAAAGTACTATTTTTAAAAGAGTTTTTGAATAAGTTTTGCTACTTCTTTTCTCTATTGCTATGCTTCTCTGATCAATGCAACCAGAAAAAAATTTACAAAAGCAGAAAAAAATACTTTTTTATTATAGGAAGGAGCTGCACATTAGCAATAATTCCTTTGCAGTTCTAGCTGTTTTAATGTAACTTAAAAAATCACAAATGTTTTAATATTGGGAAGTTCAGATATCCAAAGTTATTTCTCAGATATTAAGAAACATAAGCTGGGAATTTAGACCTCAAAATCCATTTGAAATTAATGGGAATTTAGTTTTGAACTCCCTTTGGTCTCGATCCAGTTTCATTTGCTTGCCTTGACTTAAATGCAAGTAAGTTGTGACCTTTTGGACTGCTTTGATGGTTGCATTCTTTATCCACAGGATATCCTTTGAAAACCTCACAGAATCTAGGTCAGAATATTAAGTGCATTATTTTGGTTTTCAGGTTTGATATTTCATTTTACATTTCCCACAACTCCCTGTGCCCCATATTCCATTCATATTGTTGAAAATGGACAACTAGTTAATGAGGAACAGAGGGCCAGTTAGTTGTATTTTCTAATTGTGTGTGTCTTCATTATTTTTGTAGCTGCCTAACATATTCTGAGTGTTTTCTCTCTATAAATAATAACAGCTTTAAATGTCATATTAAGTGTTAGTAGAGTTGTGGAAAGCTAAGTGAAGACTGTTTGTGTGTGTGCATTAGAAAAACTGGCTGCTGAAGCGGGGACTTCTTATGGCTGCTACTTTGTGCCAGCATTTTCAGGACTGTATGCACCATACTGGGAACCCAGTGCAAGGGGGTAAGGATCTGACTAAATACTGCATTTGCAGGGAGATTTAATGATTTTACAAATACTATAATTAGTCCTTCCAGGTATGTGAAATTGGTTTTTTGTTTCTTTGATGTGTCTGGATACATCATTCTCTGCGGCAATTTCAAGCAACTACTGAGTTTCTCTTTTGTGTTTAATCTGTTCAAAACAGCAACAGCTACTGGGATAAAAAGAAGGATTAGGTAGCTCAGCTACTCACCTTCCTCTCTCCTGCTCCAAAAGAAAGGTGGCAGGGGCCAGGGAAAACATTTGGTCTCGGCTGTGCATTTCAGAGGACAAGATGGTTCTATCATTCTTGCCACTGCTGGGGCCAGCTTTTTTTCTTCACACATTTCTGTTTCTGAAAGGATCTTCATCTCACTAAGGAGAAAGAGGAGATCTTCATATCTGTGAGCTGTCAGACAACAAAAGTAGAAAGTGAAGAATTTAGTACTGATTAGGTTTTTTGAGATCAATTTCTCATGGCTGCTGCATTCAGTATCTTAAATGATACAGACTATTAATTCCTCCCCACATCTCCCTCCTTTTTTTCCCCCTTATGTCCAGCTTTCTTACCAGTTTATTAAACAATCATTTTTCCTCTCCTTCCAGTCCCTTTTGGAGTTAAGACTTAACTATTTTGTACTAATTAGAGCAACTAGTTCAAAGAATAATCTACTATTTGTCTTTTCTGCTATTATGAGCTTGACTACTATTGCTGGAATCACAACATGCCATGGGAGTCACAGAACCATAACAAATTGAAATACAAAATAACTTTCGTAAGTGAGAAAAGAATTCTTGAAGAATATCTAGTTCCCAAGATTTCAAGCAGTTGCATCTTTAGAATTTAGATGCTCGTTGTACGTGGGGAAAAAAAAAAATCTTTGAGTTTGATGTTTTTACAGTTTTTCCGATCATAGTGCTTAAATTTTAAATGTTAAAAGTTGAAATTATAACAAATAAAAATGTCCTTTAATGTCTTTGAAGTCTCATGTATCCAGCACCAAATATAGCAGCATTTCTGTGTAGTACACTACTTACTATTCCTCAGATGTTGAAACAGAATAAGAGGATGAGTATTTGTTCTGCAGTTCACAGTATATAGACAGAATTCAGCTTACTCATCGTTAGATGTAGCATGATTTCCATATCCAAAAATCTCTTTGAAGGTGCAGGAGCAACTAATGATCAGAATAGATCTGAAAACAATTTTAAGCATTTAGAGCACAGACCCAGTGAGGCTTTTCCTTAAGAACTGAAAGTACTAGAGAATTTATTAAGACTTTAAAGATCGGCAATGATTTTAAGCATTTAGAGCAGAGACCCAGTGAGGCTTTTCCTTAAAAACTGAAAGTACTAGAGAATTTATTAAGACTTTAAAGATCGGCAATACTATTTTTTAAAGAAAAATCAGCCTAAATCATACATTTCCTTTTCTTAAAGGAAGACTAGAATTTGTATGTGTTTGTGTATGTATGGCTGAATATGTATCCACCTGCATGCAGATTGTCAATAAAATTCTAATTTATGGCAATTGTTTAGATTGGACACTGAAAGCATGTTTGTGTGGAAAACAGGGATGAGAGAGTTTAGATTTAAGAGGAAAAAGCTTTTTAATATTAAAAAGCAGTCCTCATACAATGGAACTGAATGAGCTTTGAATTAGAAGGCCTAGCTCTAAAGTAATAGTGTGTGTTTGGTAAATAAGTTTGTCCTGACTGTTTGGTTTTTTTTTTTTCTCTTCAACAGTATTATCTGTGGCCTTACTCAGTTTACAAATAAAAACCACATCGCCTTTGCTGCACTAGAAGCGGTCTGCTTTCAAACACGAGAGGTAAGTGTCCTGACTGTTTGGTTTTTTTTTCTCTTCAACAGTATTATCTGTGGCCTTACTCAGTTTACAAATAAAAACCACATCGCCTTTGCTGCACTAGAAGCGGTCTGCTTTCAAACACGAGAGGTAAAGGCAGATTGACTCTTAAATTCATTGTAAATTAGTATGATAACAGGGACTGCAGCTCTTCAGGAAGAGAGAGGATTGAAAAGAGTTAATGAAGATTAATCATATGCTTTATATTGTACTTGGATGCTCTTCTTCTTTTTATCTGGTGCTAATGTTGAAAAATTAGTCCTGTGGGCCATATGTCTGCTTTTGAAACTGTGCTAATAGCTGTTGAGTCTTCAGAAAGTTGTGAAGGAGCTTAGAAGTAGCATATATCTCTAATTCTAGTACTAGAAGTCAGGGTAAAGTTGCAGGAACTGAACTGATAGTCTAGTTCATTGTCTTCTCCTCTCTTACCTTGTCCCTCTGCCCATCCATTTCCTCTCATGTGACAGCTCAATGAACTTTCTAGCAGAAAATTATCCCTCTTTTTGCTGGGCTATTTTTCTGCTGGATTAATGATCTCAGCTGCCTCACGGAGGACTGTAGCAAATGTCAGAACGAGAGACAGGTTATGTGGCTGGGAGTAAGTGAGAAGGGAATAAAGCTCTCAGACTGAGTGAGAGTGAAGTTAACTGAGGAGATCTAATATTTCTTCATACTTTAGTCAATGTGCTTTTCTCACAATGGCAGCAGTGCTTGATTAGGTTTCTGGACATGATTAAATTAACCGATTAAGTCCTAGTGACACAAATAAAATATATGTACATTTTTCAAAGATACATTGTTAGTTCTGTCTTGTCAGAAACAAAGTTCTTCTGTTTTAATTCCAGTTAAAATGGAAGTCTTTTGTATCCTTCAGCAGAACCCTCAAATTTCATGTTTGTTGGAGTTTTGTTTTATTGTGCCATCCAATCCTTCTAAGTTTCTGTTCCTGGTAATCTAAAAAGCTCCTTCCTTGTCGAGACAGTTGACACTTGTTTTTCCTTCCAGAAGGCATTTTGGAAAAATTTTTCAGTTGAAACAGCTGTACAATGCTGTTATTAGACCAAATTTATATACTTGGATACCTTGCACTTCATCCAATCTCAGTACAATAGAGATAGCAGCAGCATGATCACAATTTGGTTTGTTCCTTCACCCCTTCCTCATTTCCAGAATTCTTTCCATTTTTTTTATCTATACTGAGTACATAGTGTGATCCAACATGCTTTTGCACAGTGATAAACAAAGCCAGAGCCTCCAACAATTTGTGTGTATAAAGCTGAGATTATGAGACACTGCTAAAGTTCTGAATGGTAAAAAAGGCCAGTGAAATCAGCATAGACAAATGTGAAATGGTACATGTGAAGGAAATAAGTGGTGGGGTACTCCCAGGTAACTTTGCTGCTGTATTATGAATCCTCTTTTCCAGGTTGTTTCTAACATATTGAACAGTGTAGGCCCATAGACAGATACTGCCACCATGAAAACTGGCCTTTTACCTTCTAGTTTTTAACCACTATTTATCCTGTGGCAGTTCTTTTAGTTCCTTTAAAAATTCTCTGGTAAAGGACCTTGCTGACTTAATTTCTGGGAAGGGGTAGAGTCTATGGGACAACTCATCTCTATATAGTTTTTACTGCCTTACAAACCTAAAATTTTTTTGTTCTTAAAAAAAAAAAAAGAAATGTTGACTTTTCCCGGAAAGGATTGTACAACTGGGTACTTTGTGAACTACAGAACAGCACAGAATGAATTGAAGTTTTGTTCTTTTTTGTGGCATACATTGCTTTATCATTTAAAGCTGAGAAAAACACACCTCTTTTTTATTCAAATAAATTGAAAAATTATAAAGAGATTTTCATTCTGTACTAGTTAATTTCTAAGTTTGTCAACAAAAATTATGCACAGACCTTAAAAAATATAAATGAGACATTTAATTGATTGTTTTTACAAAATCCTAGAAAACCCACTATTCTGCATTTAATAGGTGCTTGTAGGGTAATGCCATGGTGTTATCAGTAGCTAAGGTTTAAGGCAAATCTTACATTTTTAGGAAACCCTCTAAAAAACATATTGATAGATACTGGTGAACTAAATGCCCCACTGTCAGTTAATTATCCCTTGTAAACACTTTAACACTTTTCATTTCTTTTCAGCTATCCTCTGTGCCCAAAAAAATAAAACATAATTTTACAAGAAATTACACTATGTTTATTTTTTCAGTCTGTGTCGTATAATGTAAAAATCTCATTTTTCAGTAACTAAGTGAAAATATTTTAAGAGGCTGCTTTTTCAAAGTGATTCAACATTCAGGAGTTCCTATTGAAGTGTCTTCTAGATTGACAGTTCAAATGTTTTAATTTTTCAGTTCTTTAATGTATCAAATTAGAGAAAGTATCTAGACAAACTGTAAGGAGCTAAAGGACTCCACTTAGTATTACTTCTTCCTTTGCTAGCTTTGATAAAAGTTGTAGTTGTCATCAGCTTTGTTTCAAAATTCTTCTCAGACCATGTAAGCGGCACATAGGCTAACTGTAGAGCATCAGAGGACAACCATTTCCTACACTAGGATTTCTGTAATAAATAGAGTGCATTTGCTGTGTGTTAAACAAAACTGTATTGTCACTACTTCTGTTTTGCCCTCTTGATGTACTGGGGAGGGCGGAAATAATTATCCACTTAGCAGTCTTCAACAAATGCTGAATTACCAGTATTTTACACTTAGAGGGTATTATGGATTTCTCTGCAATTAAATCATAACATATATTACTCTTACTAAAGATTTTAGATGCCATAAACAAGGACTGTGGGATACCACTGAGTCAGTTACAAGTAGACGGAGGAATGACCGCTAACAAAGTCCTCATGCAACTCCAATCAGACATTCTCTGTATTCCAGTAGGTAAGATGAAATTAAAAAACTTTGTAATTTTTTCTTTTAAATTATTTTCTTTTGAAACCTGAAAACAACATTGATTCGCAATGGCTAATGAGGGCAATTTGGATTATTTGCTTTGTTGCTGTTGCTGGTCTTTTACTACTACTTGAGAATGTTGGGTTTTTTTTCAGAAAAAGTTTTTCAGTCTTGCTTCCAGTTTTGAGATTCACAGAAGTCACTAAACTTATTGCTTGTGTTTAAATATTACAGCACTGTGATGGTAATGAACTTTAAAGTTGTCATACCAATTTCTAAACATCTAAGAATTTTTAAATTGGTGAAATTAATTCTCTTCTGCGATGTGTTGGCTCTGAGAATCTTGCTGAGAGATAAATCAGAACTTTGCACCTCCGCTGCTCATGTTTTGCTCTTGCTTTTCAGCAAAAAGCGGATACCCTTTTTTTCTATTCCCTTTGCCTGAACAGACGTTTGATTTCATTTACAATGTAAAAGAAGACCCACAAAACACATTATCTGTTCTGTTTCCTCTCACAGCAGCAATGAAGAAGGGAATAGAAGTCACAACAAAAGTGGGAATCTTGCAACCAGTTGTCTTAGCATGCATGACATGAAATACAAACCCAAATGGGGTTGTTCCTCTCTAAAGCCAATGAAAGTTTACAATACCATAATTCTGATCCAACAGCAATGCAGCCATTTTAGAAATGATCGTGTAATGCTTCTTTCACAGAAGCCCCCTAGAATGCTAAAAAGGTTTTTTAGCCTTTGAAGGATGTGTTTCAGTGTGCTAAAGCTCTTCAAAGACCTCACTTGAAACCTGGAGCATTTCAGTGTCAGTGGAAAGGGACCATCCTAAGACATGTTTTAACACCTCTAGCAGATCCCAGGTTGCTGACTATTGTAAGCTGTATGTTAGCATCCTCAAGGATGCAGTATATCACTGAATAACAAATAATCTTACCTAACATGCAACTTCTAGAAAATCATTTAGAAAAGCTTCATGTTGTCTCTTATGCATAAACATGAGACGCTTCAGTGGAAAGTTTTTGACTGGAGAGATACTATAGCTTGCCTTTAATAATACATAGTACACAAGGATCGTGCTATCAGTGCAGATGCACAATTAGCAGATGAAAGGATATGATCAATAAAATCAGATTTTAAAGGATCCACTGCCTGAAGCAGAGAAGCAGGCAGTTCTAGAATTAATCGAACAGATTTACGATTGACATCTTGGGGGTGGGATGGTCTTCTATAGCATCTGTGGAAGGCAAATAAGCTAGTAAGGTGTGTAGCCTCTTTTAAGACCTCTTTTCTAAATATAAATGCTTTTAATAACACAATATCTACAGCATGGGAACAAGACTGATAACTTAGCCAGCGATCACTGCTTTGAGGAGGGAGAGAGAAGACAAAAAAAAGTTAAAAAAAAACCAGGCCTACTCTAAGGAAACACATGGTTGAGGTCAGCAGCCCTGCTCATAGCATGAAAATAGCAATTGCATGATTCAGTCTTGAAGGATGTAGTGATCTGAGATATTTCAGACTTGGAAAACTCACAGGTGAACTTAGCCTCATAACTACGTGAATGGCAATAAGATGAGATTTGCATTTGGTAAACTTAAAGGAAGCATATAGCACTTGTAGAAAATATATATCATTCTAGATATATATATATAAATCTTACATATGTTGTCAGTGATTTTTCATTAAAAATCATTGTGACCTTCTCTGTGATTTACTTCAGTGAAGCCATCAATGCCTGAAACAACAGCTCTAGGAGCTGCTATGGCAGCAGGAGCTGCAGAAGGAGTTGGAATTTGGAGTCTGAATCCTGGAGACTTGACAGCAGTGACATGTGAAAGATTTGAACCACAGATCAACCCAGAGGGTAAAACCCTTTCTTAATATCTAAGAAGTTGCAAATTTAATATTTTATGTCCAACAAATCAGGTTTTTTCTTCCTCGCAGTCTTAACATGGTGATATAAAACCAGCTATATGTAAATATCCTCACAAATGTTGATGATCAGGTTTGTAGTATTTGTTTAGAGAAAAGTGCATTTCACTTGCTGTTTTGTCCATTTATTGGCTAGTAAGATCAGAAAACGGTTAAAACAACATAAATCCACAGGCGGATGTGTTGGGTTTTTTTTATTTCTTCTATTTGGCACTGGTCGTTGCAGTTAGAAGCTTTCCATTTATAGCAAGTAAAATTAAAGAAATCTTGAGAAAGATGTTTCCTAAAGGTCCTGTACATTGGTGAGTTTTCACAAATGTAAAAAGGACAGACTGACTGGTTTTGGAAGACTTTTATTTTGGCTTTAAAAAGCCTATATTAATTATTGGTTTTTAGCTAAATATCTTTTCATCAGTTGGTAAGTGCTTCTAAAGATGGAACACATGTGCTTACCATAATCCACGTGCAAGACAAATGAATTTTTGTCTTTTCAATTGTTTCTTAATTTTTGTACAGAAATTTGTCGTACTATTTTGATAAAAATTACTGCCATAATCCCTACTTCAGGACAGTGTTTTCAGCACTGAAGGGCTTCTACATGAATAAAAATTGCTTCATTTTGTCCTACTTGTAAATCTTCTTATTGGTGAACATGCAGAATATTGTTTTTAAGGTTTATTTCTCCTTCCTGTGCATAACTGTGGAGTATTGAGTTATTTTGTTTTGGGTTGGTAGGGGTTTTTTTGTGCATTCAAAACAGCATTTTATAGTACTTGTTCTGAGCAGACAAACTATATTGTGCAGAGTGGAAAGTTAATATTGTAGTCTTTGCTTCTTGAATACTTGTATTCACATGTACTGAGAGGCCTTTCTGTTTGCTGATTTCTCAATTTCAGAAAGTGAATTTCGCTATGCTAGATGGAAGAAAGCTGTGGTGAAATCTATGGGCTGGGAGACATCTGAAGCTCCTTCAAATGGTAAACCAGAAATTACTGCCGGTCAAATATTATTAATTAACTAGTTAGTCTAGGTGGTTAATCTTGAGTTTGGTGACCTTTTCTGTTCATACCATCTCTGGACTATTCCAATGATTTAAATTCACTACTTAAAACCACTGTCAAAATGACACAGGAATACAGATAAACAGGTCTTTCTCTTGAAAGGAAAGCACAAGCAATATCTTGTAGGGCTCTGAAAACAGGACATGAAATCAAGACTAAGTGCAGGTTTTGTAGAATAGCATTGGTTTACAAAAAAAAAAGTCTTACCTGGAAGAAGAGATACAGCACAATTCTAAGACAGTTCAGGGATTTCATAAACTTTCTTCTACTATGACCTCATGTTGCAAAAGCGAAAAGTTTCATCCTTGCTATATCTTGCCTTTATTATTTGCTGTATAGGAAGGAGAGATTGACACCTACATCAAAATCTGACCCACAAGGGCTAAGAGCAAGAAGTTATCATAAAGTGAAGAATTGCATAGACCTATTGCTCACAGACAGAGAATATATAAACACTTTTGAGGGGCTGAACAAGATCTTTCTTTTGAAGTAGAGGACTTTTTCATCTGTCAGTTTTAAATTAAATAAAACCTGCAGTCTTCTATGATCTATAATTTGAATTTATATTTCAGCACTATTTCAAGATAAGTTTTTAGTCTTGAATCATCCTACAAGACTTCATTAATAGGTTTTACCTTCATTTCATTTCTTATTTGCTGGAAAAACTATTAAAATTAAAAGTATTAAGCAAAGAATCCTCAAAATGTAAACCTCCTCACAATCCACAGTTGCAGTCCTCAAGCTACATAAAGTCTTTTACCTTTTAGTCTTGAATCATCCTACAAGATCATTAATAGGCTTTACCTTCATTTCATTTCTTATTTGTTGGAAAAACTATTAAAATTAAAAATATTAAGCAAAGAATCCTCAAAATATAAACCTCCTCACAATCCACAGCTGCAGTCCTCAAGCTACATAAAGTCTTTTACTTTATTCTTGAAAGCTGAAGCTAACATTTTCATTTTACCCACCTATATGTTGGTTTACGTAATTTATTTCATGCCATGGTTATACAAACAATTCTGTCAAGACAATTTGAAAGAGATATAAGTAACACAGCATGAGTAACAAGACTCAGTCAGTATTGTCCATTATGATTTAGTAGCCTCTCTGTTATGTATCCCAAAATCCCAAATGCTTGATGTATATCTTACTTATAGGCCTTTATTTCCTTTTGAAGGATAGGAAATTCTGCCTTGCAGATTGTAAAACTAGATCTTGTTTTTCAGCTCATGAGAAAAGGGATATGTTTATCAAAACTTACCCTCAGTGATTATCTGGTTTAACACTGCAGGGGGGGAATGTTCTTTGTCTCAGTTCTTGCTTTGAAACTTTGTCTTCTGCCTACTAGGAGTATTTAAGATTGAAGAATATTAGAAATGGGCTCAATCTAGATAGTGCTAACAGTGGTGGGGGGGAATGTTCTTTGTCTCAGTCCTTGCTTTGAAACTTTGTCTTCTGCCTGCTAGGAGTATTTAAGATTGAAGAATATGGGCTCAATCTAGATAGTGCTAACAGTGGAATTTGGATTTGAACTCTTATATTGAGAGCCTGTTTTAAATTATGTGGGGGTTATGCATAATATTTTTTATTTTTTCTGCAAATGTCACTACATTTGTTACTTTTGCTGTTCATATGATTTTTAACACATCTATTGCAATTTATAAATATATTTCTCTTTTGATTTGCTTGACTGGAAACACCCTCCCCTGGATGACATCAGGTGACACTAGTATCTTCTCTAGTCTGCCTTTGGGTTTTTTTATTATCAGTAGCATGATAATGTTAATCGGAGCAAAGTACGTCTCAGGTTAGTTATTATTTGAACTAGATCACTTTAAAAGCTATCTACACTAGTTTAAGTGTTGGGGGTTTTTGTATTCCATCTGTTTATTTTTAGCAAAAATGACTGATGCTTTTTGTTGTTCATGCACACGAGTGTTTGAGGGTGTGAATTAGACATACGGTGCCTAAGTGAACCAAGTGAATGCTGTCTTGAATTCATCCTCATGTGCCATGAAATTCGTAGTTGTTAGAGGCACATGAAACCTTGGACTCTCGCCTCCCTTTGTCTAGCTATGCAGACTCTACACCATTTATAAGAGGGATCTGAGTCGGAGCAGCCTAGCAGAGTTTTGCATTGCCTGCATTACAGTGTGCATTGCAGTTAGAGTAAGGTTCCATCCTTTATCCTGTAATTCTTCTCAAAATGTTTAAAATTATTTTGAAGATCTTGCTTAAAGAAAGTGAAGACTTTTCTTTTGTTCCTGAAAGGCCTCGTGCATTCCTTTCATTTTTCTGGTTCCCTTGGAACTATTATATGGTCAGAAAACTTCATCTACTAAATCTATAGAATATTCTTTTTGTACTTTGCTCTTGATGGATAAGTGAATTAATTTTGTATAAAGAGAAGAGACCCTAAAAGGCCTATCTACAAAACTGGGGAAAGGGACTGTGTGCATATGCAATGAAGATGCATCTTCAACCTTTAGTATATGTTTTATTTTAAAAGAAAGTTCTTAATATGGATGACGGTGTTAGTTACTTATGCCAGAAGTAAAACATTTCATTAAGATATTCTTATGGTAAGAAACAGAAGTATAAATGGTGATATCATTTGTTCTTTGTTGTTCTTTTTCATAATTTCATTCCAAAGGAAATATTTTACAGAACAGCCATTATTGCCACTTAGTAAGCTTTTTATGGGGATGGTTGTTCAGTTTTCTTTATTTTGGTTTTGGCAGGATGGGTGGGGGGTATTAATTAAACAGACAATTGAGGACTCTAGCATGCTCCTCTGATGATGTGTTTGTATTTTGTTTATACTCACTCAGCCTGCATTAACTATTCAATTGTAATTTTCCTTGCATGGAAGAGACTGACTGAGCTTGTAGGAGAATGAAAATCAAACTAAACAAATGCTAGGCAAAAATCAAGCTGAGCAAATGGATTGATGTTGATTTACTAACTCTGTAACGTATCTGTGAATGAGAACAATTTTGATTATGAAGTATAAAATAAAACCAGCTGTGAATAAGTGGGTAAATTTTTAACAAGCTGAACTAAGCAATTTGAATATTAATTCCAGGTCAGGTTCTTCACCACATGGATGATACCTGAAATAATAAGAAGATCAATGATAAGTGGGTAGATAAGCAACTTAAATTCTGGGTGTATTGCTTTTTAAAAATAACTAATCAGTAACCTGCGTATAAATATCTAAACTTGCAGTGCTGGAACTCATTAAAAAAATGATTTTTTTCTCCCTTCCCTAAGCTTGTCAGTGCTTTTCTGACCCATAAGTGGAAAACATATTCATCTCAATTCACTTTGGATTCAGAACCCATTTTTGCCCTTGTTTTCAGATAACAGTAACTATTGATATAGTAACTGTAACTATATATATATATATATATATATACACACACCAATATAGTTACTTTATATACCAGGATGTTGGTATATTATTTACATGGTATGCTTGGGGACAGGAGAACTTGCAAGAAATTTCCAGCTTTTATTTGTTTTAAAAACAATGATGTCTAAAGAGGAATAGCATCAGTGATGATATGTACAGGTTGCAGTTTTGCTTAGCTGTGTGTTAGGATAGAACATGATATACAGAATTTGTGTTGCTGATTGGAGCAAGGCTGCTTCCCCTTTACCTTTTTGCTTTTAAAAGGCGGAACTAGCTGACCAGACATTCCTTCTACTTCAGTACAGGAACTCCATTAATTCATTTGTTACATTTTATCTTTTAATGAAACACTGGAACTCCAACGCAGTCATCAGTATAGTAGGTTTGAGGATTGAATCTACTGAGGATTGAATTCATCCTTCATGTGCTGAAACAGCAGTAAGTCTTGCATGACAACAGTGCTGTTGTTGAACGTGTCTCTGTAGGGCAGGGCCATGGTTTTACAACTACTGAAATGTGAAGGAAAAATCTGCTGTGGCAGAATAGAGAACACTAACGTGGCAAAAACCCGTTCACAGAACTGTTAAACTAATTGCCTTTTCATGCAGCACCTGATGACTGAATATGAACAACAATAGTGTATTTCATGTTATAATTTCATAATTTTGTCAAAGTCAAGTCAATTTCTTTTACCTTATTTTATGATCTTCATTCTTCTTCTCTCCCAGGGGAGAAAGGGACAATATTTAAGTTTATTTCACTATCAAAGCAAGTTGTGTGCAGCAACTGGAATCTTATGCTAAGATTCTGTTATGTTTTTCACACTAGTTCTGGAAATGGACATCTGAGAGATTTCAACATATTCTGTAGCTGTACTTTTTTGGGGGGTGGAAGTTAACTGAAAGTGATACAGTATTTTATTAGACTCAAATTTAAAGAAAGCCTCTGCATGCTTTGACTTTCACAGAGTAAGCTCTCAGTGCTGATAGTATTACTATATTTTTCCTCCTTAAATATCCTTTGGGTTTTTTTTAAAGATTCTGATTTTCCTTTTTAATTTCTTGTGTTGTGATGGTTACTGCCAAATTGCATACTAATATAGGGATCACTATGCAGTTCTGCAAGTTAATTGCAATAATATTTCCCAAATTTCTGAAAGCTGGGCTCATATTTAGAAAAAAAAAGCTTAGAGTATGTTGCTTCAATTCCTCTACTTGTTAAAAATTTACCCATCTTAATAGTGTGGTCTCTTCAGTTGACCCACACACTTAAGTGCTGGCTTATCTGGTGTCACAAGATATATCTAATTCATAACTGTATTAATTGAAAACAAAAGATGGTTATACTGAGTTCCTCTTATAGCTCAGTTGTGTAATAGTGTTATGAATGTTTTAGAGTAAATTCTTTGTCACTAATGCACATTTTTTCTCATTTAAGGTGCTGATAAATGAAACTACTTAGTGAACTCTCTGGATGCAGCTGATTTTTTTGTTTCATTTTGGTTTGTTGTCTGAAGAGGTTCCACCACCAATGTGATTAGACTACTTGTGTGACTAAATCCATTCTTGAAGCTGTCTGTTGCCAGTCCCTGAGTCTTCAGTCCTTCATTACTCTGTCCCCTTCCTCATCAACTCCAACTGCACTAGAGGCTCTTGCATGGACCATCTCACATCACCCTTTTAAATGTCACAAGCCCTAGCTTTGTTTGAGAGAGTTGGTATGACAAAACCCTTCAGCTTCTGAAGTAATGATGTCAGATGTTTAGCTACCCTTTCCAGGGTTTTGGTACTTTATACAACACACTGCAGAAAGTTAATGATGCACTATAGAACTTTGTAAACATCTTACAATTCTTCCAGCTGCTGTGAATTGCCTTTCATATGTCTATGGTTGCCAAAGATGTTTTACTGTAGTGGCCACTGGTCTGAAACAATGGTACAAACCTTTTAAACACTAGCTCAAAATCTATTATCAGTAGCACACATTGCCACTGGTTTGGCAATGAGGAGGTTGCTGATATGGTCTACAGAGCACTGCTGAGATGATCAATTACAAAGTTAACTTGTTTGGTTTGGCTTCTAGCGTATGTAGTCAGTTTACCCATTGTAAGTATTTAAGACACTAAGTTGTGTGAGAGAGGAGTAGGTGATAGATGTTTTGGCTAAGGCCATGTTTCATGTTCTTGTGCTTTTCTATTAGTTTGGAAAGACAAACTTGATACAGCGAGCTATTGACAGGACAGCTTCTTGGTCCTCAGCAACTGATAACTCTTAAAACTGATCTGTACAATGCACTTTTCTTGACCAATACTGCATATATTGTGTCATCCTGCTTAAGGATATTTGTTAAAGTTTTGAAAGTTGAAGCTACCTTAGTTTTCCTTAAAGAGGGTCCACTCCAAACTAAATATCAGTGCTTTAGTTCTTGATGTCATTTAGTATATCTCAGGGACCAAAATCTCCCTTTCAGTTTCCATGTCCATAGTTTTAACAGCAAGTTGTCACAAAATATGCTGGGACAACCCAAAACCCTGGCTTGGAAGAGTAAGCACTTGGCATCTGAAACGGGCCACTAGAATTCACAGGCAACTTGCACGACAACTGAGTTGCATCCACTTTGAAACTTTTTGTTCTCCACAGGTAAAGGAGTGAGGCAATAATCTTATCTTCAGCTTTCCGTTTTGTACCAACAGCGTGACAAATGCCAGCCTTATTGGTTGGGTCAGGGAAAACATGTGCTTGTATGGTGTCACTAGATCAATATACAATCTTATCTTCAGCTTTCCGTTACAGCATGACAAATGCCAGCTTTATTGGTTGGGTCAGGGAAAACGTGTGCTTGTATGGTGTCACTAGATCAATATAGAATGATATAGCAAGGTTAAACGTGGGAACAACACGGAGAATTTCAAAGATGTGTTTAAATGCACTAGGAGTTAAAGGGAGCTGGTTTTTGTGTGCGTTTGTTCTTAAAGGTTTTTGTCTTTAAAAAAGTAGTCTTTAGCAAAGTTTGGTTTTCTTCGTTAAACTATGATTACAGGCTTAGTTTTTAAAAGGTGTTAAATATGTGTGTGTCTGAAGCAATGGATTGCACAGAAGTTCAGGTCTGTACAATGTATTTAATATCGAATGCGTATTAATTGCCTTTTTATTGTCAAGTGCAATGACCTTTGAAAATGTGACTTTTAGTTAAGAAGTTAGAGAAGGAACATTTTTCGTCCTGTGATTGCATGTATAAATTCAACAGAAGGGATTTTTGTGCACAGGTGAAAATATAACATCATTATCAATCAAATCCCAAATATCCTATAAGTACTCAAATGTGAGGTGTGACAACAAAAATTTCTGGGTTTTCCAGTTTGTATTGGGAAGGTGAAGAAAGAGCGAAAAATGAACACCGACCCATAGAACAATCCTTATATTCCTTACTTTTACTGGGAGCTGTTGCCGATCCCCCCTTACCCCAAGGAAGAGGAATAGCAGCAGCCTTTGGAGCACACAGGGCAAGGGCAGCACACGCCTCCAACACTGGACTTCTGAGTACGACTTCTTGCCAAAATCTCTAAAGCACTGAACCTGGGAACGATTAAAGTCGAAATGTTGCCTTTGCCAGTGGGAGAAAGGTAGCACATAAGAAGTAGGAGGGGGATTTTTTGCTGCTTTTCTGACTTATCTTTTACTGGGAAACACAGTTCCTATTACTTTTTCACTGAGTAAAAAATCATTATTTTATTTTCAATTGCTGTTGCAAATATTTTTTAAGAATTTCACATCACTGTTAACTTTCTACCAACATAGTTGAAATATATTGTAAACTGCGTGTTGGGGGGGAGGGGACAAACTGTTGAAAGTTGGCTTTTTGTGAAGCTGTGATTTATTTTTTCTATAAATTACCAGATTTATAAATTCTTACTTAAGAAATGCATTAACTTGGTATTAAAATACCATAAATAAATTGATGTAAGCTGTCAGTTTATTCTTACACATTATCTTTCAGACACATTTTCATTGATTTTTTTATTTTACATGAAGCAGTATCATGCACAGATGCATATTAAACAGAGCGCCCTCTTTAAGTGTCACAGACACAGGCTTTGACTTGCTCGTGTATACGGCTCAAGTATATGGATTCATCGAATTGTCTAGGTTGGAAGGGACCTTTCAGATCATCGTGTGCTGCTTTTCAGTGACATAATCAGTTTCAAGGACTGGATTAGAAATTACATTGCCTCAAGTTCCTCCATATTCAGCAGAAAACAGAGGTAAAATGATGGAAAGGAACACGGTTGCAATGCAGGTTTGATCAGAAGGTCTCGACCAATGTTGCTTGGAGTCGAACAGTTTTTGCTCTTATGCCACGGTCTGGTAATTGCTACAGATTTAAAAGCCATTATGAGTTGGGGGAAGCAACGTTCACGGAACAGAAAACACGGCCGGGGGGCACTAGGCAGGAGCGTGAGGTGTTTCTGTCGTTTTTAGAAAGAAGCGTCACGGAACAGAAAACACGCTGGGGGGCACTAGGCAGGAGCATGAGGTGTTTCTGTCGTTTTTAGAAAGAAGCAGCGGGGGCATGTCCCTGTGAGGAGGGTACCTGCGTGCAGTGTGCCTGCCGGGCGCCTGTTCTGTCTCCATGTGGCTCCCCGTTGTATCGTAGGCATCTAGCACTGCATAAGAATACCAAGGATACAGCCTTCATCCATAGGCTCTACAAAACCTTTAGTGCCCTATATCGAAATCAGCTGTGTGAGTCAGAAACACCCCCACTCTCCACCCTCCCATGAGAAAAAGACATTTAAATATCATACCAGCGCAGGAACCTTAGGTAACAGGTTGTTACTCAACATCAGACTTATCCCTCTGCTCGTGAGACTTTGAAGTCTTCCTTTCACACATCAAAATTACAGCCTTGCCCTTCGCTGCGCTGCACAAGAGCATACTCACATTTCATGATTCATCAAGCTGGAATATTACGAGATAGGAACTTCATTAACGTAATTAGTACCAGAAAATTGTATGTGTACAGAATTGTTCAATGTAAGCTAATACAATGTCTACTCTATTATTGGAACATTATACAAAGAAGCTGCTTAATATCGGTATCAGCACCCAAGCCATAATCTGGTCATCTAAAGAATCCGAGGTCTGTAGCTATTGGAATGCTGTCCCATTAAGAGCTGTAACATAAGCCCGGTATGGGGTGTTTTTTTAATTGTTATAATTGACTGCCATTTATTTAAGTAGTAGTCATCAGTCCTGGAGATAAGGACAGGCAAATGAGTAGCAGTCCTTTAAAGCCCGGAAATGGCACAAGAACATTGCTGCTGATTTTCCTATGCTGTCCAGAGGGACCTCGACAGGCTGGAGAAATGGGCTGACAGGAACCTCCTGAAGTTCAAGAAGGGGAAGTGTCAAGTCTTGCACCTGGGGAAGAACAACCCCGTGCACCAGGACATGCTGGGGGCCAACCCACTGGGAAACAGCATTGCAGGAAAGGTCCTGGTGGGCACCACATTGACCATGAAGCAGCAATTGCAAGAAAGAAGTCCAACAGCACCCTGGGCTGCACCAAGCAGAGCACCACCAGCAGGTCAAGGGAGGTGATCCGTCCCCTGTAATCAGCCCTAGTGAGACACATCTGGAGTGCTGGTCCAGTGTGAGAGAGACACGGACACACCGGATTGAGCCCTGTGACAGGCTACAAAGATGGTTAAAGGATTGGAGCATCTGTCATATGGGAGAGTCTGTGAGATCTGGGACCACTCAGCTTGGAGAGAGCTCAGGTATAAACACCTGATGCAGGGCATAAAGGCGATGGAGCCAGACCCTTCTCAGTGGTGCCCTATGACAGGACGAGAGGCAATGGGCACAAACTGAAACACAGGAAAATTCATTCAAACAAAACAATTTTTTACCTCAAGGGTGGTCACACACATGGGAGAAGGTTACTTAGAGAAGTTGTGGAGTCCCCGTCCTTCAAGATGCTCAAAACCCAATGGGACACAGCCCTGCTTTCACTGACCCTGCTCTGAGCAGGAGGTTGGACCAGACGATCAGAAGTGCCCTCCTGCCTCTGCCGGTCTGTGAGTCTGTGATGAGGTCAGTCACAGCTTGTCTCCAGCACAGGCTGAAGGCTTGAGCCACCTAATAATAAAGGCCAGGGGAAAGGAAATGCTGGTTTATTTGGACAAAACTGATGGGAGACCTTATTGCCCTCTACAACTACCTGAAAGGAGGTTGTAGAGAGGTGGGGGTCGGTCTCTTCTCTCAAGTCACAGGTGACAGGACGAGAGGAAATGGCCTCAAGTTGCGCCAGGGGAGGTTCAGGTTGGATATTAGGAAAAATTTTTTCACTGAAAGGGTTATCAGACATTGGAATGGGCTGCCCAGGGAGGTGGTTGAGGCACCATCCCTGGAGGTGTTCAGAAGACGGGTTGATGTAGTGCTGGGAGATATGGTTTAGTGATGCTGTTGCTTTTTGTTTGTTGTGTGGGTGTCTATTTTTGTCAGTCAGGTTGACGGTTGGACAAGATGATCTTTAAGGTCCCTTCCAACCTAGAAGATTCTGTGATTTTGTCCC